TGGATACTCTCCAGAAGATTGATCTGTTGTCGGCCTCGCGTTGTAATATGTATTCCAACGCTTTGGTCGGTTATCAGAACTCTTCGGTTCAGTTCTGGGAAAAGTCGTCCAAAACGATGGCCGCCGTCGCCGACACTTTCAAGGGATACCAATATTACGAATTCACGACACTTAAGGAGTTGACCGAAACGAGCAGAAAGTTGGCCGAAGACACCGCTAATAACGATGACATTCGGAAGATCTTTGACGACAACGATGACGACGAAGACAAGGATCGGCTTATTTTCTTTGAGGCCGATTATAGGGACGACGACTCCACCAATAAAGCCAATAAAGATAACAAGAAATTTAAACCATTTGGCAGAAAGACTTCGACTCAAAACAAACCAAAAGCTGTTCCCCAAAAGAGCATTGATTCCAAAGCAAACAATTCATTACTTGATCTCAACTTCGATTCCAAAGGAGACAATAGTTTGAAAAATAGTTTAAAGACATCGGAAGCGCAACAAAACACTGATATTTTGACTCTAAGTGATACAAAAATGGATGACTTGAGTCTCTTGAATGAGATATTGAACGCACCGAACGCTCCCATTATTGAGACCAACTCTAGTACGGGTGCTATCGGTGGGGCACCCAATACAGGGGCCACTGGTGTCGACGCGTTTATGCCGAGCCAACTCATTGACTTGAATTCATTCAATTACTCAATGAATCCAATGAACGCATCGCTGAATCCAATGACCAGAAGAGATAATTTGGTCGAAAAGAACAAAAACGTCAATTTGAATGCAAATAAGGATAAAGTTAGTGAACATTGAATCAATTTTATATAATTATATAATTACGCCAATGTTTATTATTATAGGCAACCAAAAAGGCTGAAGAACTGTCCTCATGGTTCAACCTCTTTGCAGACTTGGATCCGCTCGCGAATCCCGACGCCATCGGGAAAAAGGCGGACCAAATAGAAGAGAGAAATTGCTAATCAATAAGCCTCGAGAAATAATTATATATTAATAATTTAATTTATTATTTAAACTATTGTTTATTCCAATTATTTAACGTAATATTGAAGTCTATTATTATCTCAAATCTAGTCATAAAACTAATCAATGATTTCTTTAATTTAACTCAAATTCCAAATCAGTATTACTTTTCAATTGTGTTATTTTTAAAGCGCTTATATTTAAGCAAATTTTACTCTTTGTTATTAAATAAATTTATAAATTGTATTCAAATAAATGTGAATTAAAATGACTTGCATTTAGTTGAAACACCCAATGCTTTATTTGAGAGCACATGTGAGACAACACATCACAAAATGTCCAATTTTTCTGTGCAAACAAATCTAAAATAATTACCCATTTTTTAGGAACACTTTAAATGTTTTTTATTAAATCATTACAAAGTATTTAAGGTTTAAATTCATTACAACATTAGGCGATGCATTCAAATAACATGCCATCGAAACACGAGTTATACTAAACAAAGTGTTTGTCATTAAAAGATGAGATTTATGAATGCGGTCTAACGTTGCCATCAGTGGTCGCTTTGCCAATTGATCCGCCGATGTCTTCGGGTGCCGTCTATTTGGACCTCTCCCTCATCTTCCTTCTCTTCCGCTTCAATCTCCTCATACGCTTCTTCCGCCACTACAACACCATTCAATACAAATCAGATATTAATTCATTAGTCAAACAATTGACAACCAATTCATTATGGTTTCAATGAACACACCTTTGCTCTCATATCGGATCCGAAAACTAGACTTAGATTTCGGTCAAAAGTTGGTCTCAATTTGTTGACTGATTTCAGACAAAATGAATGTTTGAATGAATGCTTGAATAGTGAGAGGAAAAGGAAGTCTCAAATGCTTTGTAACACTCGTCAGTGACGAGTCGTCACTCCTTTACTTTATATATGCACTCAATTACGGCCTTATATTCACACAAACATTGCCTTCAATTGTATGGAAAAGCTATTAATGTTTGAACACATCATTCATGACTGCAATCATAATCTCGAGAACCAATAGTTGGCAACAAAACTGTGTTTTGATTTGGATTTTGCGGCAAATGTTTACTCATTTTGTGTTTACACTGAAAATCGTATCATTTGTTTGTGTTTTACAACGAGTTTTGAAATCAAACCAAACGTAATGTCGAAACCGACGGGTCTTTCGAGAGTACGACGAAAGGGAAAAGCAGTCAAAGAGTTGGCAATTGTGCCGAAAGTGGT